ATTCCCAATCTTGACTTTCTGAGCCTGGCTTATTTCACTTAGCTTGATGTTCTCCAGTTCCATCCACTTGCCAGCAAATGACATCATTTTATTCTTTATAGCTGAGTGAAGCTCCATTGTGTGTGTGTGTGTGTGTGTGTATAATCACATTTTTTTCCTCCATTTGTCTGCTAACAGGCCTTGGACTGGTTCCATAACTCAGCTATTATGAATTGCACTGCTATAAACATTAGAGTGCATGTATTGCTATAGTATGCAGATTTTAGTTTTTCTGGATAAATATCAAAGAGTGGGATAGCCAGGCATATGCAATGGAATAGACCAGAAAATTAGCCAAAACCATACAGGTATAGTTATCTGATCCTTGATAAAGAGCCAAAAACATAGTTGGATAAAAGATAGTATTCTTAACAAATAGTGCTAAGAACACTGGATATCCACATGTAGAAGAATGAAACTAGATCCTTATCTCTGACACTGCACAAAAATTAACTCAAAGTGAATCAAAGACCTAGGAACTAAACCAGAAACACTGCAACTACGATAAGAAAACATGGGGTCAACACTCTAAAATAGCAGAACAAGCACCGACTTCCTTAATAAGACTCCCAAAGCTCAAGAAATAAGACCAACAATCAATAAGAGGGATGGCTTCAAAATAAAAAGATTCTTCAGTGTGAGGACAATCTGGCTGGGATATCTGTCATCCCATTGATCCCCAGCATTGATTTTGGCTGATCTGGCTGGCCAGGCAGGTGTCCCCTTCTTCCCTCAGTGTTCCATGTGAATCCCTCCCAAAGCTGCATGTTAGGTTGAAGAGGACAACTTTCCCCCATACAGGAGGACCGTCAAGGATATATGAGTAGCTGCTCTCCTCTGCTAGAACCTCAAAATAAGCTCTCAAAATAAAAAGCTTCTGCAGAACAAGGAAATAACTAAGAGTTCGAAGAGAGAGCCTACAGATTGGGAGAAAAATCTTTGCTAGCTACTCTTCCAGCAGGGTATTCATAACCAGAATACATAAAGAACTCAAAAAACTTAACACCAAAATAACAAATGACCCGATCAATAAATGGGCAAATGATTGAAACAGAGACTTCTCAAAAGAAGAACTGAAAATGGCCAACAAATATATGAAAAAATGTTCAACATTCTTACCAATCAGGGACAAATGTAAACCAAAACTATATGAAGTCTTTGTCTCCCTCCAGTTATAACGGCAATCATCAAGAATGTAAATAATAATAAATGCTGGCAAGAATATGGGGAAAATGATTGCTCGTACATTGTTGGTGGGACTGCAGATTCGTACAACCACTCTGGAAAGCAGTATGGAGATTCCCAAAAAGACCAAGAAAGGGATAAATGACACTTTTATGATTGGGATGTGAAGCCACTTTGTGGGCAGAGGAAATATTCTGAAGAAGGCCACAGAGTACGATGAGAAACTGAGAGCATCTGATTTGGGAACTATTTCTGGTAAAATCCACTTCCTTTCTTTCAGTGACTCACAACTTTGCATTTTTAAATTTAACTTAATTATTTTTTGTGGAGCTCTACCACAGAGCTACACCCGGCTCTCATCACTTTGTTTTGAAGTCCTGAGGTTTTGCCCTTAAGGATCCTAAATTATTCTTCTGCCAGAGCCTTACCTGGTAAAAAATGGGCCCTGGGTAAAGGTTTGTTTTCCTGCTTGTTGCTGCTGGCTGACACTGTTTAATCATGCCACTGAAACTAGAACAAGGTGAGAGAAAGCCCAAATCAGAGGAGTGGGATGGCATAGCCATTCTTTGACTTTTCTTTCACTAAGAGAAACTGTTAAGCAGTTTTCTCTTTACTTTTCAAACCTTCAAATTGTTATCCATTTCAACAGAAATGAATTTTCAGGAGATAATCAAAAGTGGGCAGATACCTATGGATAGACAGAGCAACCAGGCAAGCCTCAAAGAGCATATTTGAGGTAGCAGGGCAAAGGCAAAGAGGTGGCTGCCAGTCATGTCTGTGTTGCCCAGTGGAAGAAGGTGCTTTCAATGGGCTATTTCTATGGAATCCTGATAGAAAGCTACCTATTAGTATTCATTAGTCAACTCCATTTTCCACTTATTATATTCACTGTTTTGCCATGGAAAACCTTTATTTTCTGCTTAAGGAAGAACCGTTGGTAGCTGCCAAAGCAGACAAATCTGAAAAACAAACACAAAACCCAGAATGAACAGGAATGTTTTATTTTTGTTCTACTGTTTTTAATGTTTTCAGCATTTTCAGTATATAGAAATGAGACTCTCCTATGGAACCAACAATAAAAGTCTGACCATGAAAGTCTATTAGGACACATTGCTGATGATTCTGTCTGCCCCGAATCCCAATGTGGCTCAAATTTGCCCTGCAGTGCTGTCAACAGAGGAGTCTTACGGGAAAGGAAACAGCAAAGTTGGAGGCAAGGGCTCCTCACAGAAGTGTTGATGTGCTCATTTCTTCTCTCTGTGCAGTGGACAGGGATTACTACAAGAGCCCAAATCCCAGATCTGAACAGATCTGAACTTGCCTCCTGTTTCACATGAGCTAAGAGTGCAGTTGCTCACCTGCAGGAAAGAATGCAGGAAGCAGGAGCTGTGCTTTCATGTCACCTTGTGAGGTCATCATACCCTTTAATAAGTGACTTTTTGTCTTCTTTTACTTCTTTTTTTTCTCCTCCATTCCTCAAAACAATATGCTGAAATAAGCATAATTTGTTTTTTCCTTTTTTGAAAAGCACTTTTCACAAGAAAGCACATCTTTAACTCTCAAGTTGTTTTTATGCATAGAATTCCTTATTCCATGGGGGAAATTAGAAAATGCAGGTAAAGAGGATATAAATAGAATTGCTGGTAATCTCAAAAGTAACCACTACAAGAGTATTTTAAATAAATTTCTGTCCTTATGAGAATATTTTAAATGAATTTCTGTCCTTTCCAAAATGTGTATACACATCAAAACATTCAAACACTGATAAACTATTTTTCTCTCTTTAGTATTGTTGTAAATCTCAAAGGAATTTATGAAAATGGGATTTGAGTTTTTCTCAAAAATGTCCTAAACAGTTCTGAGAGTTTCCTAGGGGATTACAAGATGTGAACTCCAAATGTAATCCTCTTAGCCATTTTCTCTCTCCGAAGCACTAAGCTCTTTCTCCTGTATTGCTTTCTCTCAGTCCTATCAACAGCACAAGTGGCTAAGTCCTCCTCCCCCTTTTCAGCGACAGCATCTTAGCTGCTGCTGATAGCATTGATGTCTAAGAGAAAGTTCCTGATGTTTGGTACCTAAGAGACATAGATCTGCAAAAACGTACGTCACGTCTGCCCTTATTAATATAATTGAAGCTAATGGAAATGTTCATGCTTGTGCTCAATGTACCTGATTTGTGATCTTCATTTTCCCCTTTGCTATAACTTCTATTTCCTCTAGTACTTATGCATTCATTGGCTTATTCATTCAAAAAATGAATGGAGTAGGTAATGAGGACAGAATATAGAACAAAACACACAAGGTACTTGGCCTCATGGAGCTATTATAGTCAAGCACAGAAAGTAGCCATTAACTGGTAAACACATTGACTAATGCATAATTTTACCGGGAGGGAAGATTACAGATACTGTGGAGAATAATCTAGAAGGCACAGTTTAAGTTGTGGATTCGGGGAGGCTCCTCTCAGGAAATAAGTCTATGAGTGCTGGGAAAGGAATGATAACCAAGCATCAAGTACCATCTTATCCCAGAGTTATCCTCACCCGGGTGCTCTGGCCCCTTTTCCTAGAAGCCACCTTCTGGACCCAGCTTATCCTCAGAATGAGTTGTTCTTCCAAGACCCCTCTGTCCTTGATGAAGGAGTTCTGCCAAACTGTACCTCATCCATATCTCTAACTTTCCAAAATCCTGAAATAAACTCAGTTTACAATTTCAAGTATTCCCATTTTTGTATATCTTCATGAGTAATGAAGGACAAATATCCTCTTCATAAAGATCTCGTCATTCACACTAGATGGTATCTACAGTCCAACTAACTACTTGATGAGCTATCAGAGTGGCTATATTACTCAGTGGTACTATGTGATGCCAGAATCATACAATAGCTCTCACAACTGTAGAAGAATCCCTTTTTTTTCTTTTCCTCAAAAGGTTTGTGTTTGTCATTTGAATAATAGAATCTTAACATGAAGGATAGAGGAAGACAGAGTGGAAACAGAGGGAGTAAAGGAAGGAGACAGGGAGATAGGGAGAAAAGAGAGAGAACTAAGTGCTAAGCAGTTATGGTACTTAAAGTTGCAAGGTTCTTCATGTTCCTTGGCTTTCTCTGGGTTAATGACCTAATAAGAATGAGACACAGTTCTACTCCAGTACTTTAATTCATGGTTAGCAATTGTTGCTTGATCTTTTTTTTTTTTTTTTTTTTAGCAATTTCCCATTTATTTAATGACATTTCTCTATGTTCTCCTTCTGTGAGTAAAGAACAGGTGATGGAGCTGATAATGGGTAATGGATTGTTTCAGAACAAAAGTTTATGATAACCTTAGACTCATAAAGGCTTCCTTATGTGTAGGAGCCATTGATGAAAATATGTGAAGAAATTACAGAGCTGCTGGGTCTTAGAATGGCAGCTGGGAGCCTGGGCATTTTAAAACAGCTTGTTGTGGGCTTCTGAGCATGACTTCTGTGCAGAAATGAAAAGATAGGTGTACACAGCTCCGTGAGCTGTCAGGGAGATGCTGTGAAGTAAAGCAGAGCTCAAGAGGGTCACCCGAACCAGAGACTGCTTCTCTCCTCATTAACAGATATGAGATTGTTTTCATCATGGCACTCTAGGATCTTAAATCATCAACGTGCTTTCAAAATAACTCTTTTATAAAACTCCCCCCAACCCCTTAGGATATCATTTCCTCTATTTCCGAAGTTACCTGTGAAGTCACCTTGTGTTGTGACTGAGTTGTGTGGCGTAGCTGAATTTTTCACGTGCTTTCCTACAGTGGATCCTGCAGAGGTCAATGGAGTGAAGCCAGTTAAGGATGCAAAGAGGAATGCGAAGAGGAATGCGAAGGCGAATGCTCACCTCCGGGAAGCCCCTTCATTTCTGGATCCTGTCAGGCAGAGGTGCTGCTGGAGGTCATACTCCCTCAGCTGGGCAAAGCAGTGGAGAGCCACTGGCTTCCAGAATGCTCCCATATCCTTGCCTGGGAGAGAATGTTTTTCCTGTTACTCTGGAAGTATAACAATTCTGTGGCCTGTCAGTCTTTCAATAACAAGAGAGGTGACATTGAGACTTGATTGTGCTGGTATCATTATCTCAGGATATGTAACACCTTACTAAAAAGACTATTCATTGCTCAAAAATTTTGTATTTCATATAAAAAAATTCCTCTGATTGTTCAATCAGTTCGTATTGTAGAAACTTGGAACGTCTTTATGAAATGCAGTATTTCTAAATGAACTTAAAGTGAACCATTTTGTTCGAATAATTGCAAGAGGGGTTTTTAGAAATCATAATAGCTGTTTTATGCATTGATCCTTTATTTCCTGCCATGCAATATATCCAGTGCCTTTTATGTAATCTTACTTAATCCTTACAATGACCTTTTGAGTCAGGAAGCTGTTATGTTATTATTCTTTTATCATCAATGGAGAAGCTAAGGTTCAGAAAGGTGAGGTAATGTTCAGTTTCACGTGGCTAGAAAGCATTCCCTGGTTTGTCCAACTACAAAGCCAACAATCTAATCACCAACTCCATCCTCAAGGAATTAATCTTAAATGACAGATTTTGGAAAATGATTTGGTTGTTTCTGAAATAAAAATATTGTAGAATTTTTGTTCTGAAGTTTTAAGAGAAAATGCTCATGCTTGCTAATGATTAAATGTTACATCATCCCAAAGTTTATATATGAAAACTTATCCTCAATGTTGTGGTAATTAGTGGTGGGGCTCTGGGAAGATGGTTGGGTTCTAAGGAAGAGTCTTACTGAATAGGAATAGTGCCTTATAGAAAAGACTCCAAAGAGCTCCTTTGTCCCTTCTGCCACAAGAGGACACACCAAAAACATGGCCATCTATAAGCCAGGAAGCAAGACCCAAGCAGACATCAAATCTGTCAGTGTCTAGATCTTGGGACTTTCCAGCCTCCAGAACTATGAGAAAGAAACATTTTTAGCCCATCATATGTGGTATTTTCATTTCAACATCCTGAGCTAATATAGCACTCATTAATTTTTTTCTCTAATGTGCACACATTATTAAGAAGTATACTGTTCAACTCATACTTTGTCAGTTTTTTAAACAGAAAAATATTGCAGTATTCTCACCCTACAAAAAATAAACTTGCTTTGGATGAGCAAGAATCCAGGTCACCTTTAAAATGCCTCAGTGCTTTTTAGCTATTTTTAAGTTAAGATTTTTTTGTACTGATATAAAGATGTAAGTAGGACTTATCCAATAGTCATAAAACCTGGGGAAAGCTAACAGTGCTTCTAGAAGAAATCATCCATTAATACCACTTTGTGTGCTAAAGGACAAGACATATTAAACCATTGCAGTACCTGTTGCAAGGACAAATACTTATCGAGCACTTAATAGGTACCAGGAACTCACTGAATTCTCACGATAACTCAGTGAAAGAGACACCCTCATGTTACTGATGTAAAGCTGAGACAAAGTTACACAACTTTCTCAAGGTCATACAAAGCATCAGGATCAGGATGAAAACCAGGCATCCAATTCTAGAATCAGAATTTTCCATCACTCATCTTCTCCACAGGCTTCTATATTTGCACATTAAGAGCATTATAATGTTTAAATTAAGCATTGCATTTGTTTTCTGGAGTCACTTTCTTTACCTGTGCTCAAATTTCTTTAATTATTCTATCCATTCCACAGCATTTTCCTAATTTCTTTCAGCACAGAAGTATCATGGTGTTATATTTTTCCAGGTCATTCATTCACTCATTTTTAATCAATAAATATTTATTGTATACCACACATATCATCTACAATGAACTTTGCTATGCATTTGGGAGAATTATAGATTTTGTTACTATATTCAAGAACCCATAGCTCACTGGAAGGGGTTGATATAATAGAGCCAGGCACAGCTAATTACTGTACAGGACAAGGAGTCATAGTGAGATAGAAGAGAATTAAGCACTGCAGGAATCAGAGGGTTCATTTTAGCAGGATAGAGGTCAGGAAAGACTTGTGAAGGACATAGCATCGAGGATGTCCTGAAGGATATTTGCTATAAGAGATGTTACATTTGGAAGAGACATGGTACCTGATCCTCTCATCTTTAAGGCAAGGACGCTAGGAACCAGAAAGATGAAATGATCTCCCAAGGTCACGCTCTGCCATCTGTAGCTCCCCACTTCATTTCTAAACCTGAATGGTCGCTTAATGCTTTTTTCAAATAGTTCTGACAGATTGTCCTGATTCAGTATTAGTTACCTTACTCATATCTCAAAGATACCCTCAAGAGGCAAATAAAATAAAACAGAATGTTAGCAATTAGTAAAAAATCATTAAGGAAAAGTAATGCTGACTAGGCAACTCTGGTGTAGAGTTTGACAGATTTAGTGCCAAGTCAGACTTGGAAGAGGTGGAGAAGTAGCAGATGGAGTTTTGTGCTAGTAATGACAGCAGGTGGGAAACAGGTGAAAGCAAACAGATGGGCCCCATAATGTAGAAAGACCACCAGCATCACCTTTTCCAGGGCTTTGTCCCCAAGAAGTAAGAAGGACACAATTCATTTCACTGCAAAAAAATTTCACTGAGCACAAACTATTTATAAGGTTTATTGCTAGGTATAGAGAGGAAATTTTTATTTTTTTAATTTTTTTTTTTTTTAGAGAATTTTAACATTTATTTATTCTTAGTTCTCGGCGGACACAACATCTTTGTTGGTATGTGGTGCTGCTGAGGATCGAACCCGGGCTGCACGCATGCTAGGCGAGCGCGCTACCGCTTGAGCCACATCCCCAGCCCCGAGAGGAAATTTTTAAATAACGTTGTTTCTGTGCTGAAACGCAATAAAATAAGACAGTTACAAAAATAAAGCGCTATAATACAAAAGAATAGAAATGAATAGTACAAGAGAAACACAAAGATCATGGAAAAAGTGACACTTAAGATGAGTCTGCTCTATGGGAGTGAAGGAGCCAGAAAAACAAAGGTAGGCTCCAAAAGAAACAAAACTCAGAAGCAAGTAATTGTCAGAGAGGATCTGCATAATTATAACAGGTACAAGCAGCAAGCACCCAAGTAAGTGTCCTGGAATGGCTGTATGAAAAGATGGTGGAGGTCTCCAACATTACAGTGGGGCTAAAAACAAAGTCACCCAAAACCCTCTTGACTTCCAGTGCATATCTATCGTGAGCTGGTTTCTACAATCTCTTCCAGGTTTGCAAGTGAGTAACCTAATCTAGAATCTTCTTCAATTTCTTAAACTGGTATTTCTCACTGTATGGGATGTGTGCTATTACTGGAATGCAGATTTTAGATGGTCTATTTATATTTATGTTAATAATGACAGAATTTTGGTAGGGTTGCTTTGTATTTACTGCAAGGGATGCTGATTTGCCTTTTTCTAATAGTAAGAGTGTTCTTTCTAATTTTTATTTCAGTGGAAAAATATGCACCAAATTAAAGAAAAAAAAATCTAAGTAATTTCATTGATGTTTGACATTTTCAATTCAAAAGAGTTTTGTAGTTCATACTATAATATAGCTGTGCTTGCTCTTCCACAAAATTTATTAATAGATTTATTTATTTATCGAACAAATATTTATATAGTGCCAGCTGTATGCCCTGTTCTAGGTAGTAGTGATATGTTGTAAACACAAAGAACAAAAAATTTTTTTTGCCCTATGGAGTTGACATTCTTATGAAAAGAAACTGACAATAACAGTAAAATAATAAATAAGTAAATTGTATAGGGTGTTAGCAGTTTGGTAAGTGCTAGAGAAAAGAAAAAAAATGGAGATGGATAGGGAGGATTGGGCCACCCAGTAGGCGTTGGAGAGATGATCAAGCAGTCCCATTAGGAGGATGGCATTTTATCAAAAATTTCAGAGGAAAGGGAATAAATCATACAACTATCTTAGGGGAGGAACAATGTTCTGCTTTATTTATCATTAACTAAAATCAGTGTTTTCTGTACCCTGTACCCAGCTCCGGTAGAAGAGGAAAAAAAGCTTGGGTTTCATGGTGACATCACCCACAACATGAAACACAGAAATGAGTTTTTATTTTTGACCTTGGTCGAGGGAGGCAGCAGTTCTGTTTGAGGCACAATTTGTAAAGCTAAATGTCCACGGAGGAACCCAACAAGCCAACCTACTGTGAACATTGTTTGGGATTTGAAAAAAGAGAATTCAGAGTCATAACATCTAAAACTGTGACACTGCAAGAGAAAAGAGGTAGATGGAACATTAAAAGCCCCTTAGAAGGAGGTAGGCCGTGAAATATGTAGTACGTAATAAACACATGTATCCTTCAAGGAGTTTCCCAGGAGAGACAGCAGACAGCGCTGGTTAGAGCTGAGCTCTCTGGGCTCACGCCCCTCTGGAGCACCTCCCCAGGGACGGCACCACTGGGCTCAGAAGCTTCAATGGGACAATGTTCAGAAAGGTGCCTGCCACAGAGTAAGCCCTTAGTAAATGTGGGCTATTGTTATTTAAAGTAAAATAAATATAGTTGCTTAAAATAATAGCAAATGGCCTGATTTTATGGTTATTTAAAATGTGGAAATTTTGAGCAATTTTATTTTGATGTTAGAAATGAAGGGGAAAAAATTCAGCTAAGTAAGAACTTCCAGGATTAAACAGCTATGTTATTTTTTTAAACTGCAGAATGTGAATTGGATCAGTTCTAGTTTACTCTTTTGTTCAGTGGTTCTCACCATTTTTAAAATTAAAAAATCCTTTTAATGTAAAATATGGCTATTCTCTACAGTAAAAAATACATATAAATATCCTAAAATAAATAAAAAAGACAACAGTGAAATATCCAAGTTTTGCTATAGTGTCTGAAAGTCTAAGAAACATCTGACTCTTGGATATCACTGTATGACTTACTCTTTACTGTAGATTAGGGCCTACACAGACTTCTTAAAATTATACCTTAACTTATAGAAAATTAAGAGTATATGAATTATTTTTGTCCAGTTAAGATGCAAAATGATTTCTCTCCCAATGGTAGATAATCTCAAAGGTCGTATTTTGCTCTTTATGTAGCACACAAACCAGTTTTTAATCTATTTCAGTAATCATATTCCATCATTCTTTCTTTAGCTTTCTTTTTATAGATCTCTTATATCCTTCTTTGTATTATTTTTACCATTTTGCTGGTTTTCTCATTAATAAGTAAATCTTTCCCAAACTATACTCATTGTGTATTTAAAGAAATTACATCTGCAACTTTTAAAAATAATGCTTTAATACACAATGTGTCCATTAAGGTTTAAACAAAACCATCTCTACATTATTTTTGTGTTCATCAATTATATGTAAAATGATTCATGTTTTATATACATATATTACATTTCTAGGTAAATAAATATATGTTTAAACATTATAGGTATTTGATCTTAGAGTATTGTGGAAGTTGGTGAAGAGGTCTTAGTAGGATGTATGCTATTACTTCTGTCTCTGGCACTGGCACCTGAAGTCCACAGAGAGCTGATGAAAGAGAAACTAGTGCCTTCCATCTTGGAGCTAAATATGCATCCAGTCCAGGATTGAGGGAAGCTGATCCAGCAGGAGAACCTGGCAGGAGCCCAGTTACTGCCCCATGCCAACAAGGTGAGCCTGTAGATAAATGGCAACACGTATGAGTTCCGACAGAGCCCAGCACCCTTCACCTTCTCAGTATTAAAAAAAAAAAAAAGCTACTGTTCCAATCTGTGGACAAAGGAGTTCTGGAAAACAGTTCCAACTTAGCCAATTGATATAGTACATATCTATCACAAGATTTGGTGAGAAATGTGGAATTCAAAGACCCCACCTCACCCGAAAAGACCATTCATGGATAGTGTAGGGGTTCATGAACCTGATTATTAAAATCTCTTTTCTAGTTGATCATGATAATAGGAATGGTATCCATGACTCAATTAAGAAAACGTTACTGTCTCAATTTAGACCTGTCAGTGTCAATGAGATCCAACAGCTGAAATATTTTGTCTAATTTATGTTGCTTTACTCATTTTTTCTTTATTACAGATTAAGTGTTTTAAGAAGCCTGTCAGTCTTCTCTAGCTGCTAAGAGGTAACATTCTTGACAATGCTTTATTTATTTTTTCTTGGTACTGGGGATTGAACCCAGGAGTGTGCTTAAGCACTAAGTCACATCTCCAGCCCCACCCCCTCCCACACAGTTTTTTTTTTTTTTTTTTGGAGATAGGGTCTTGCTAAGTTGCTTAGGGCCTTGATAAGTTGATGAGCCTTGTCTTGAACTTGCAGTCCTCCTGTCTCAGCCTACCAAATTGCTGGGATGATAGGCATGTGCTACCATGTCCAGCTTTTATTTTTTCAAAATGTATATTTTGTTTTCCAATTTTTTGAGCAAATGCATATATTATTAGAGATTTGTTGTATATGTCATTGACTTTAGTCATAATTAATTACATAAAATAAATGAGTACTTTTTCTTTGAAATCAACTGTCTCAGATAATCTTAAACTATAGAATTGTATTGAAGACATTGTTATTTATTTTGGATCTTTAAACTTTCTGAGTTCTGGATATTCTTTCATTCCTACACTTGTTTTTTTAGTTTTGCCCTTATGAATATTTTGAGTCAATAGGAATTGTATTTAGATTGTTCCTTGATCTTCTGACAAACCTTTAACTCCACGGAAAGGACATCCCGCCCCCCACCATCTGCTCAGTGACAGAGATACATGATGACAGCTGAGGTATTGGGAATTTTTAATGCAGTGATGCTTTATTGCTATGGGAACTTGAACAGCTCTCCTTTCTGAAAAAAATATTATCACAAAGAAATTGCTTCATGGGATTCCACCGAACATTTATTTTTCCATCATCAGGTGGTTCTCAAAATCCTATATTTTATTATAGAATATGACAATACAAGTTTACATGAACATCAATAAAAATAAAAGTCTTTATCTTTTTACCACTTTTCCAAATTTTTGCTTGATACTTGCTTCCCAGTGTTATAAAAAACATTATCATGTGGGTAAAAAAAATAGCAATTGATAGAAATATGCCATCAGAACAAAAAGGTATTTAAGTTTATAAAATGCATTTATTCAAAACCTATTTCCATTGAGAAAATATTTTTTACAATATAGATTTTTAGTTAGAAAGAAAACAAAGAGTTTTTAGGTTCTGTTATTATGACCTAAAGAAAAGTTATATTCGTGTATCTTATCTGTAAAATTAGATTTGTAATTTCTTAACTTTCATAGAAGATGCCTTAATTTTAGTTATTAATCTCGCAGACTTATGCATAAAGTAGTGTCCAACAATAGGCCATACTCAGTAAACACAGTATGGGAAAGGATGGAACACAGAAATGAAAAAAATGAAAAACCTGTGATGCTTTGTCTGCTTAGCAGCACTCAAATTTCTAATATCAGTTGGCATATCTATTCCAAAAGGACGTTCTCTTAATTGAGACATAGTCTTTTTTATATCACAAGGTAGCACACACTGTTGGTTCTGTGAGATGTAATACAACCAGGTCCCTGTGGCCAGCCTATCTGATTTCACAAATGACCTGGAGTCTAGAAAAAAATTTAAAAAGAGCAGTAATTTCCAAGGTCTTCGCCTTGGCAGGAGAGAGCATGGCCCCTTGGCAGGAGAGAGCATGGTCCATCTTTGAGACTTTTCTAACTTTGGGAAGCCACAATCATATTCTTGCCATTCCTGATGGTTCCAGCTGCACCTGAGATCTGCTCTTCATTGGCCACTCCTTCTTTCAATCATAGTTCTCTCATGAAGAATGGTAGACTCCTACATTGAGCACCAACCAGGACTCTCATTATAAGAGCCCATGAATATCTGCTAATCCATTTTCTGCTTTCCCATATTAAAAGAATTTGCCACAAAACATTCACACATCAGTTTCTGAATTACCTTCCTCTAAAATATCCTCATATTCCAATCTCAATACTTGTATATAGATCTGTGCAGAAGAATCCAGACAGAATCAGTCCTACCAAACCTGGGAAGAAGGGAACAGACATGCTGGGCTCATTGCCCTTCCTCTATCTCATTTTCTGTTTTCTTGTTGTTGGCAGTGGTTTATTTGTTTGTTTGTTTGTTTATTTATTTATTTATTTGTCTGCTGTGCTGGGGATCAAGTCCATAGCCTTGAACATGCTGGGCAAATGCCATACACTGAGCTACATTCCCAGCCCCAAGAGTAAGATTTCATAGCTCCAAAGAAAGAAGCAAAGGAAAATGAGATGGAGGAGAGTTGGGGGTAGGAATGTAGCTCAGAGGTAGAGGTTTGCCCAGCAGACACAAGGCCCTTGGTTCAATCAACATCTGGAGGTAAAAACCACCAAAACACACACACACACACACACACACACACACACACACACACTCATTCTTAATCGGTTAGTTATCTTTTTAATATATGTATATATTTGACAATGCTCCTTCCTACACACATACACGCACATGCATACACAAACACACACTTACTTAACTTTCAGTGCTTCCCAGTTTTTGTAAGATAAAAGCTAAATTCTAACTTGTCCTCCATGTCCCTGCATGCTCTTGTCCCAGCCTCCTGTCTCTCTCTTCCCCTGTTGTTTCTGCCATCCATCCACACTGCCATTTTTCATTTTCTGGAAGGGGCCATGCTCTCTCCTGCCAAGGCGAAGACCTTGGAAATTACTGCTTTTTAAAAAATTTTTTGATTGTGGTAAAATACACATAACCTACAATGCATCACTTTAACCACTTTAAAGTGGACCACTCAGTGGCATTTCAGTACACACAGTGTTGCATAACCACACCACTATCAAAGTCTAAAACATGTCCATCCTCCTCCAAAGAAGTCCACACCTATTACACAGTCATTCCTTGACCCCTCCTATCACCAGACCCTGGCAACCCCTGCTCTGATTTCTGTCTCTGTACATTTGCCTATTATAGACATGACATGTAAGTGAAATCATGCAATATGTGGTCTTTTATGTCTGATTTCTTTTACTCAGCAAAATGTTCACAAGGTTCACCCATGTTGGAGCATTAGCATACTGTTATTTTGTGCAGAACGATTTTCCATCCTTCAGTTCAATGACCACTTCCTCCTAGAACTTCCCAGAGACCCAGACTCGATGAAGTCCTATACTTTTTAAGCCCGGTATTGCTGCTGCATCGCCCTTATCTTGGCGTGCAAACACTCAGTTAGGAATTATTTGATTAATGGCCATCTCCCCAACTAGACTCCAAGATCAATGAACAAGGAATCATGCCTATGTTAGTTCCATATTGAATCTCCAATAGCTACTACAGGACCTGGCACATAAATAATCTTTTGTCAAATAAATGTTGTTGAAATTCTTTCCTACTAAGGAGTAAATAATTGGCAGGCGCCTAATGCTTTTTTCATTCCAAATGGTATTTTGAGTTTGAGAAGAAATAGTGCCGTCGTAGAGAAATTCTACAGGGGAATTTCCCTGGCAGAGAACAAAGGCAGGGTTGTTGCAGGGAGCGACTTCTTCCTGCTCCAGACTTGCACCCTCCAGTGCCTATTCCACCTGTAAGCCCAGCTCTCTGGGTCACCATTTGCTTTAGGTTCTGCCTCTCAAACCTGAGGATAGGCAGGTTTGATTCCATTAACATCCTTATCTCATCATAGAAAGTAGTGATCTGCTGTAACTAATTATCTCTCTCATCCATCTTTCCTCTATAAGCCTGATGGAAATTTGATTGGTTTCTATGATGCCTACGGCCCAAGAAGCTTTTTCTCTGTTAATGGGATTGTAATTATGTGTCGGAATGTAACCTCCCTGAACTCAATGGCCCTGTCTTTTCTTAATCTTTCCCTGATATTTATAATGGGTTTAAAAGTAGTATTTCCTCTATCCTGCCCTTATTGTACCTTGTACATAAACCATCTCCTTTGTACAAGTGTTTGCAGTCTACACAATGCTGTCCTATCTTCGAGTAATTATATTTGGAAAGCTGCCAGTCATTATCTTCATAAAGCAATGGCAAATTCTTCTCTAGTATTTACAGACAGATGACAATTAAATTGAGGCCCCAATAGAGTAAGAGCACAATTTAACAAATTTTATTGGTAGCAGCATTTTAATTTAAATTTCGCATAATTACTCATGAGAAAAATTTTCTCCAGAATGATAGTTTTATTCTATAAATGAGCCGCTTGAAATTTTTCTCAATGAGGCATCAGATTGACGGTTGTGCCAAATAAGCTATTGTTTGCATGTAGAATCACTATTATCTTAGTTTTGGTTTGTTGTCTAATTTATTAGGTAAACCCAATGAAAACTGAATTTTTTGGATGTCCCTGGTATAGTTAAAGTCCTCAAATGGTTCTTCTCTCCTCTAGATGGGGTTGGAGTATTTGATTTGGATTAGATTAATGACTACTCTCTGAAGCCTGTGCTGTGAACATATAATGGCTAAAAAAAAATCAATGTATTTCAAGACACCTAACAGAAAAAAAAAACATTATAATGGGTCCTCAGCCTTAAGTGTTGTCAATAGTCTAATTAATTGTGCTCATAAAATAAATCAAAGAGGGATTATTTAGCCAAAGAGGAAAAATGGAGTACCAGAGGCAAACATTGACAAGTTAGATCTAAGTATTAAGACTGACTCAGATGTTGATCTACTTGGCTTAGTAATCAATTCCCAGTTGTATGGTATGGCTATTGGAGTCTGATGAGGCATACTTTAAAATAACATACAAAATCTTGATTGATTTAATCACAGTTTGGCTTCTCACAAAGTTTATCTTTGTATGGATGGAGATTGAATGTGCTTGGCAGGTTAACATGATAGTGCGCTCAACTTGGATATTGTTCTTTTTTTTCTCACCTTTTGTGTGTGTGTGTGTGTGTGTGTGTATAGGGGAAGATGTTTTTCTTCTTTCATACATTCAAAGATTGCTCTGGTTGTATACATATCGTTGTGACGCTTGAAAAAGAAGGGTATACTCAAACTGGATTGACTTTAAAATGTAGACCAAATGAAATATTTGAGCTTGCAAGATTTAGAGATTTCAAAACAGGATTACGCAGTGGTAAAACTCACCAA